GGGTTCCTCATTCCCAGATATTCACTACTAGATACGAACATGGGTCAGGGGTGGCTTTGCCATGAGCAGAACTGGCTAAGCTTTGTCAGGTGAATCTGGCAGGACTGTGTCTAGCCTGTGAAGCTAATGGTATTTAGCATTGGTTTGATAAAAGAAACGGCTTCTTGACCGTTTCGCTGCCTGGGTATAGAAGAGGTCAGTAGAAGACTTGAAAGCAGGTTAAATTCTGTCAAATGCCACTAAAAAGGTCACTTGAACCTCATAAGCAGGGAGCACTTATTTACAGACCTAGTCACAGTTAAACACACCGACTGACTCAAAGTGTTCCACCAAGCCATCTTAAGAACAAAAGACACTGAAGCTTTGGAAACCTATTTACATAGCACCACTACACTTCAAAGTACAGTATGTCCTTTCCCCCTACAGATATTTTAGAACATTATACTCAAAACATAGAGGCTGTCCCAATTTCCCTCCGTCTTGCACCTCCAGTCTTTGTGCCATCTCCACCTGGCTCCTTCCCAGGAGGAGGTCTGGACCTCTGCTGTTTTTTTAGCAGGTGTAATTTTGCAGGAGTGGGTTCTGCCTTTAACCTGAGTTTCTCACCATGATCCCTTTCATGGGTCCGAAATGGCAGGCACACCTGGATTTTTTTGGTCATGGGAGCTAAGTGTTGTGCTTAGGATAGACTGCAGCACCGTGGGAGCTGCAGAGCAAAAGATGCTTTACAGGCACTCCCTTGAACAAAGAAGGCACCACCCATTAACCAAATGAAATTCAGCTGAAACCATTGAACCTTAGCCCAAGCAATCCTGTTGGTGTCTGATATATCACAGTGATCTAAAGAGTGTATTTTCATCCTTAAATGTATAAATTGCACTATGGTGCATGGAATCACCTGTCCTGGCACTGGCATGTTATGAAAGCTGCAGCATGGCTGTGTGGATATATAGGTTACATTTTTACCTAAAAGAGATTGGTTTCTTTACAGACAGATGCATTAAAATAATTATGCTGCCGGGTTTGTTTCTATAAATTACAGGGAGCATGCATGAATATTTTAGACAGATTTGGCACATCTGCAAGATGTATTGCCCTAATGTGCCTTGTGGATGGCATCTCTGGAAGCCAGAGACTCTTCCCCTGGGCGCCTACGGGAGCACACTGCGGCTGCTGTCACACGCCACGCTGGTCGCCTTCGTCAGTTCACACATACAGTCTCTGCACAGTCGGAGGGAGGTACATCCTTCTGGGTCAAATATGGACTTTGCAACTGCCTTCTCCAGCCAGGCAGCAAGACTCTGTGAATGACCCTCACCAGCCTTCCCAGCCCCGACCTGGCAGCTTTTGACAGGTTGCCTCCTGCCTGGTGCCCACATGCTGCTTCTCCAGGCTGCTCCCTGCCCCGGTCCTCTAGGCAGGACCGACCTCTCTCCTGATGTGTGGAGAGCACCTTCCTGCCAAAGCCTGGCATGTGCTGCCTCTATACAGCGGAGAGAAATTTTCCACTGCAACTGCCAGGTTCAGCACTGGTCTGGCACTTACCATCGCCGAGCAACCCAGATTTCCTCCGACCACCACAACGCCTGTCTGATGTTCAGCAGATCCATTCCTTCAAGTTTATCACCTACAGACGCTCTAGGGAGACTCAAGTCTGTGACAGTTAAGTGCTGACCGGGGAACACCGGTCTCCCCTGAGCTGCTCAGGTACCCCCCTCCAGGCAAGCCACAAAATCAACACCCAGAAATCACCAGGTTTCAGAGTCATGCGCAGCCTCCAGCCAGCCATCGTCTGCAGCCTCCACACTGGGGTTACAGCTCCAGATCATCCTGCCTCTGATAACAGCGTGGAAACACCCTACAGCTGGCTAAGCTCATGCAGTAGGACAGGTTGCTCAGTTCTTAGCTACTCCTGGAAGAACAGTTAGAAAGAGGATTTGGTCTGCAATCCTGCCACTGATCTCATGCTGTAATCTACTTCATTATGGTCTTCTAACCGTCAAAGTCAGATGCAGCATATGGCTAACGACCATTTGGCTAAAGGAAAATCCTCATGTGTGCAGAAGTCAGCATGAGGGCAGAGATCTGCAAGTAAGCAAAGGCAGTGCCACATCTCGGGGTACCGCATGTTATGGTCCTGAGCACCAGAGGGTCTTCAGGCTGACACCGGGACAAGATTTGGCCATTATTACAACATCCTTTCTCACTTACCCAAGGAATTTCTTGTTTTACATTTCCCGTTAGAGTTTTTACCAATATTGATTTCATATTCTCTGGAAGAATCAAAACTTATGTTGGGAAATTTTGTTAGTGGATATGTGACTTCTCCATGTAATACACTGATAAATGAATGATAAATTATTTAATACGCTTTTCCAAACATTCCTGGGTTTTCTCACATTATTTGATTAACAAATAGCTGTTGTAAAAGTGGGAAATAACAATAATTAGTTGTAGCTGTTTCATTAAATTGCCTCTAATCACTCTAAAATGCCTGCTAAATACAATTCAGACTGCAGTTTCCATCTTTGTCTTTCTCTTGGCTGCAGTGGAGCCAGTAACTATTTGTACTGAGCCACACGCCTGGAGAAACCGATACAGAACAAATGGAAGATCTGCCTCTCACCTAGTGCCCGAAGGCACCGTTTGAACTAAGCAATAAGGCAAAGTCACTGATATGATTAAAACATATAGATATGAAAACATATCCATGTGTTTATGAACTTCTTGAATAGAGCTTGATCCAGGTAATGTCAGTGAATGTTTCCCTGAACAAAGACCACGTGCAGAACTTTGTACCCTGCAGGTGAAGGCTAACACAGTTTCACATTACTTATGCAATGAATTAAATGTACTTGGCCCCACTGCAAGGACAGATGTTGACACATGGGAACGAGTCCAGCAGAGGCCACCAGGCTACTTCAGGGGCTGGAGCCCAGGGTGTTCGGAGTAAGCTGAAGGAGCTGGGCTGCTTCAGCCTGGAGAAGAGATGGCTATGGGGGATTACATTGCTATCTGCAGCTCCCGGGTGGGGTTATAGAGAAGACAGAGCCAGAATCTTCTCAGAGCTGCACAGCAAAAGGATTAAATTCTGACCAAATATGAAGACTTATTCTTTACCATGAGGGTGATCAAGCAGTGACACAGGAACCAGAGAGGCCATGCATGTCCTTCTTCGGTGATATTGAAAACACCGCTGAGCAAGGAAGGCCTTGAGCACCCTGAGCTGACTTTGGCCTTGCTTTGAACAGGGGTTGGGCTGGAGACCTCTAGAGAGCTCTGCCAACCTAAATTATTTTATGTATATGCTACTTACATAATGCTCTCTCCTATGGATAGGTTTTATTAATGAAGGAACATAATACTTCTCCATGACCCAGGAGAGCAGCCTCAGAGTTTTCCTACAATTTTTGCTAAAGGGCCACAGGGTAAGTGGTACAAAAAGCTCCCAGCACATTTTTATAGTGGAAGATCAGTAACATGTATAAAAAAAAAAAGAGCAGATTGTAATCATTGTTAATCCACCCCCCAACTATTTACATTTGAGAACGCTATTAGCTCTCAATGATTTCAAAGTCCCACCACTTCTGCAACAGCCCAGGCCCCCACCATCACAACACTTCCCCATTATCTGCACCACAGAAAATCAGCTGCCAAAATAGCGTCCACTTCACTGCTGTGCTGCAGCCTGGGCCAGACGTGGGTCTCAGCAGCGTCAGCTCTGAGGACATAACCTCACTTCTCACCTCACCAGCTCACGCTCTGAGCAGTTTCCGGATGATGAGGACGTCAGGTCAGGACTCCATTGCACAGGACAAGAGTTACTCACATGAAAGCAGGAAAATGCTAGAATGAGCAGCAGAAAAAGAAGGCACCAAAGAGCAGAACATTTGGCGGGACAACGGCCAGGCTGTTACTCTTTGAAGTGAAGATACTGCAGGGAAGTGGTTTTGAGGTAATGCAGGAGATGTTATCCTGCAGCTGGTCAGAGGAAGAGGAAATCATTGGTTTAATCAGTTTTCCTGACACTTCAGTGATCTCAGCTGTGCATCACTGAGTGCCCATTTCATCTTTGCCACAGCCCAAGCGGAAACAATGAGGAAGTGGCTGCGGGGAAGTAGCAGCCGACCTGGGACTGACACCGTTCATGGCTGCCTCGCAGGAGAAAGTCAACCTGGCAACTCCACTGCTAAGGCTGGGAACATCTTCTTCAGGAGCTGGAGTCAAGAGAAAATGTTCAAAAAGTAGAAAGAAATAAAAAATAAAATTCAATAGATTTTTATCTGCAAGGAGACATTACTTATAGCTCAATGCACAGTTAAAATAGAATGAATAAGCATGTTCTGCCATGAAAGCAAATTGCTTTGAGGTTGTATAAACCAGGGGAACAGTTGAACACATCTCCAAAGGACAGCAGATGAGCCATTTTCAAGCTACTTGTCATCTAGCAGCACACATGTCATCAGAATAG